AAAGCATCATGAATAACTACAACCCAAACCACTTTTCACTTTTCTACCAAAAATTATCGCAAGATGAAATGATCAAGTGCTCATTTCTTTCATCATTGCTTACAGGTGTGACATCAAACAGGTCCGAGTCAGACTACACTAGTTTGGGGTTGGCATTCAAAACCATTGAGGAAGCAAAACAATTCTACAAGAACTATGCTCACGATCTTGGCTTCAGCGTGAGGGACATGGGAGCTGTCAAACGTTCTACAAAAAGACAGCCAACCAAAACAGCACGATATGCTAGGTATTGCTGCAGCAAAGAAGGATACAAGACCACAAGCAAGTCAAATCCCAAGAATAAAGGATCAATAGATGTGAAGGCTTATCAACGTGCTGTACCAGAAACTAGAGTTGGCTGCCCAGCTATAATCAAATTCAGATATGATATCGAGAAGGATGAATGGCTGCTGGACAAGTGGATAACAGAACACAACCATGATCTCCTCCCTCCAAAATTCAAACATCTCTTGAGGTCGAACAAGGGGATCTCAGAAATGCATGCAATGGTCGCAAAAGTGCATGCAGATTATGGAGTTTCACTACGGAAATCATATGAGTTGTTCACCACAACTTCAGGGGGGAGGGAGAATGTACCTTTTACCCCTCATGATCTGAAGAACTATATCACAGGGACAAGGCAGAAATCAATGAAACCAGGCGAAGCAACTATACTTCTTGAACATTTTCGCCATGAAGCTTACAAAAATCCATCATTCTTCTATGAAATTGAGGTAGATAGTAACGAAGATATTGCAAGTATATTCTGGGCTAATGCAAGAATGCGGTTTGACTACAGTTGCTTCGGAGATACGATCAGCTTCGACACCACATACAGGACAAACCAGAATTATCGTCCACTAGGTCAGTATTCCTTGCACTAGTTAATTTTCTTGAAATTTGGAAGTTGAATGCATACCAAACATTACATAATGCATTAGGAGGTTTCTGGTGGGATTTTGCAAATGTTGTGGTTTGCTTTGTGAGGTTTGTGGTTTCCTTTGTGAGGTTTGTGGTTTGCATTAATAGGTTTCTGGTCTGCTTCCGCAAATGTTGTGGTTTGCTTTGTGAGGTTTGTGGTCTGTTTTATAAGATTTGTGGTGTGCATTAAAAGGTTTGTGGTTTGCATTCAGAAGGATTCCTTGCACTAGATAATTTTCTTGATATTTCGAAATTGAATCCAAACCAAACATTACGCAATGCATACCACAAACCTCCTAAACCATACTAAAAACGTCCTGAAGCACACCATATATATAAAAAAAGACAGCCTTTGTTTGTTTCAATGTTTAATTCTATGTTGTTCTTTTTTTTATTTTTAATTTACAGCTTTGTTTGTTGGCTTCAACCACCATCGTGCACTTTGCATCTTCGGGGCTGCTCTCCTATATGATGAAACAACCGCTACATTCAAGTGGTTGTTCGATGCATTCTTGAAATGTATGTCAGGCAGCCGACCAACATCAATATTCACCGACCAAGCTGCTGCAATCGCCGCTGGGATTAGATCCGTCATTCCTGAAGCATTCCATGGCTTGTGTACTTTTCATATCAAGCAGAATGCAATGAAGCATCTCGACACCACAAACACAAACATTCTAGAAGATCTACAATATGTCACTTTTGGAGTAGAAAATGAGGAAGAATTTGAGTACAATTGGTCAAGGTTGCTAGACACATATTATCCAGAAGAAGGCACCAATCCAAGGAACTGGTTGGATTCAATTTACAAGGTGAGAAAACAGTGGTCTTCAGCATGGATTAAGGACCACTTCACAGCTGGTATGCGAAGCTCACAGCTGAGTGAGTCTTGTAACAGCAACCTCCGAAACTACCTTCAACCAGATGACAACCTAGTTGAGTTCTTCACATACTTCAACAAGTTGCTCGAACGGAAAAGATCAGACGAAATGGACATGGATTATCAAATGGCAAACACAGTCCCAAACAACATGTACGTATTACTTCCTTTATTTGAACTTTTTATACTGTAGAATGCATCCACAGAACAGTTGAATACAACCCAGATACCACCTAAACCAACCCAAAAACCCTACAATCCACACCACAGACAACCTAATCCAAACCATAAACACCACAATGCACACCGCAAAAGCTTAAACAACCCAGATACCACCTAAACCAACCCAAAAACCCTACAATCCACACCACAGACCACCTAATACAACCCATAAACACCACAATCCACACCACACACGGCTTAAAATAACCCATAAATCCCACAATCCGCACCACAAACAGTACAATACATACCATAAAATCATTAATGTAGACAAGATGTTTTATGAATGATTGTATGTTGTATGTCATCTTCCAACAGGTATGACAGAAGCCCACTTGTTCAGCAAGTCGCAAAATTATACACAACTAAGATCTACAGTTCTTTCCTTGAGGAGTATTCAGAAAGCCTTGCTTATTTTGTGTTCCGGAATGAATCTATGGATAGAGATGGAATGACAGCTTATGAAGTGAAGAAACTGGGAGGATTCGGCAAAAGAGTCGTGTTAGTGAACAAAGAGGAGAAGAAATACAAGTGCTCATGTCGTTTGTTTGAAAGTTCAGGCTGGTTGTGCAGACATGTAATCAGGCAGATAGAGATGGTTGGATTCAATGGTGATGATATTGAGCAGTTGACTATCCCTAAGGAATACATTCTGCCACGATGGACGAGAGATGCCAAATCTGGAGAGAAGTTCACAATAAACACAACAGAATGTGCTGCAACAGATACTTATGCATGGAGGTATCAAGAACTGTGTGCTAGCATGGTTATCCTAGCAACAAAAGTCTCAATGAATGACAAGGTCTTCTCAATGGTTAAGGAGAAGATTGCAGAGCTCACTAAACTAGCTTTCCAAAGCCTTCAGACTCAAGAAACTCAGCAAACAGTACCTGGTAATTTCACACATCTTGTTAGCATCCCTACTTATATTCACCAGTAATTGCTTAATCCAAGCCACTAATGATCTAATGCAAACCATAAACATCTTAATCCAATCCACTAATTGCTTAATCCCTACTTATGTTCACCAGTATCTTGCATATTGCTTTTTCAACAGATGGAACCACCAGTACATCACCCTCACAAAGCGCTGCTGCTTCAGCTACAAATGACAAATATGCCAATGTGAAGGGATTCAAGGCTCGAAAAGACCCATGGAAATCAAAGAAGAGGCCAAGAGGTGGACTTGAGGTAGCGCTGGAGAGGGCTAGAAAGCAAAGAATTGATGAACAGGCCGCCAACAAGCGTTACAAAAGCAACAATGAGTGATTAGTTTCCTTGTTGTTATCCGTGTTTTTTTTATCTGTCATAAACTTTTAGATTTCAATGACAACTATGAGACAAATATGAACAGTTGCAGGTTTTGATAATATTTGATCAACACATATACAGTTGAATACAACCCAGATACCACCTAAACCAACCCAAAAACCCCACAATCCACACCACAGACCACCTAATCCAAACCATAAACACCACAATGCACACCGAACAAGGTTAAACAAACCAGATACCACCTAAACCAACCCAAAAACCCCACAATCCACACCACAGACCACCTAATCCAAACCATAAACACCACAATGCACACCGAACAAGGTTAAACAAACCAGATACCACCTAAACCAACCCAAAAACCCCACAATCCACACCACAGACCACCTAATCCAAACCATAAACACCACAATGCACACCGAACAAGTGTAAACAACCCAGATACCACCTAAACCAACCCAAAAACTCTACAATCCACACCACAGACCACCTAATCCAAACCATAAACACTACAAACCACACCATACAGGAAAGAAAACAAACTACGAAACCTCTTAACAAAACCAAACCACAAACATATGGAAACTTTCCAGAACACTCATTAACCAAACCACTTATGTATTAACACAAACCACTTGTCTTATAATACACACCATACACGACGAACACAAAACCTCTTAATCAACACCATTAACACACTAAAACACATATTAACACACTGAAATCTGAAACTGTTCTTGCAAATGCATGCTAAAATCAGCTAGTCCACCTTGCGATCAAACTCCAAACTCTTCTTCTTCACCTCTTCAAGTACACTGTTCTCCTTGTTCAGCAGCAATGTTAATGTGATCTCATCCCGCCTCTGATTGATTTGTTTTTGCCACTTCCTCATAGCTGGATGCAGTTTGCCATCCCAAAACTCAGCAAAATTCATAGCAAAAACACCACAGTCAACCCCACCATGTTGTCTCACCCCTCGCATTCTAACCCACTTGAATTCTTCAAATTTGAAGGGCTCTTCTCTGCAGGCAGGAATGTATTCTGTGGCATAGCGGACCACCATATCCGCAACAGCACGAAACTTGGTATCAAGTTCGTCAGGGTAAAGGCTGTCAAGATAATCATACCGTTTGTTCTTCAGATTCACTACATACATCCTGTAGTGGTCATCAGAACAGTGGGGGAACATCCACTGCATGCAGAACAAAAACAAGTCAGTACTCCAAAAGCACAATGAAGAAAAAACACACATGAAACAATGTAGCAAATCTGACTAAAAAAAATACATACATAATCACATTGTGAGAAATCCAAACCATCTGGTATCCACTTGCAACTTGTAATAATTTCATCAGTCTCTTCAAAAAATTAGGCAGTGGTCCAGAGTTCTTCACTATCCCCTGCACTTTTTGCTACAAAGGTAGAACACAACATAAACACAGTAAAACAAACCAGACATATTATAATGCACACCACAAAAACCCTAAAACAAACCAGAAGTATTATAATGCACACCACTAAAACCCTAAAGCAAACCAGACGTCTTACAACAAATTACCTTTCTATAACAAATTACCTTTCCCTCCCTAACTAGCTGACTCAATGTTAAATCTCCACTACCATCACCACCCTCAAGCACCTCACCGGCATCAGCTTCTTTCCTTTTCTCATCAACCACCACATCTTCACAAACATCCCCCATAGCAGACTACAGAAACCAAACCACAAAAGTGTTTAACAAAACCAGATATATGTAAACCACACCACTAACAAATGCAAAACAAACTACTACAAAAGACATGACAAACAAACCAAAAACAGTATAATCCACACCACAAATATTCAAACACAAAACAGTAAAAATACCTTTACGACCTTCTCAACCAAGTTATCCAACTTAGCAGCATCAACACCATCAACATTTTCATCTCCATCATCAGCTTGTCCCTTTTCCTCACAGCTGTCCATCTCCATCACCTTCTTAGCATTCTCAGAATCAGCTTCTTTCCTTTTCTCATCAACCATCACATCTTCACAAACATCCCCCATAGCAGACTACAGAAACCAAACCACAAAAGTGTTTAACAAAACCAGATATATGTAAACCACACCACTAACAAATGCAAAACAACCAACTACAAAAGACATGACAAACAAACCAAAAACAGTATAATCCACACCACAAATATTCAAACACAAAACAGTAAAAATACCTTTACGACCTTCTCAACCAAGTTATCCAACTTAGCAGCATCAACATTGTCATCTCCATCATCACCTTGTCCCTTTTCCTCACAGCTGTCCATCACCATCACCTTCTTAGCATTCTCAGAATCAACACTTTTTTGTGTCATCTCCATTGTCAGATTATCAAGATGATCATCAAGTCCCTCCGAATCTAACACTCCCTTAGGAGAGGTATCATCATTAGCAGTGCCAGCAGGATCATTGTGACCAACATCTGGCAACACAACATCAACAGTACCAGCACCATCCTTATCCATCTCCATTGACAAATCATCAAGACCCGGGGACTTTGGACTGTTAGCACCAGTCTCATCATCAGCATTGGCAGCAGATGCATTGCGACCGACATCATTGGTTCCCTTAGCAACAGAAACATCATCAACTCTATCAGTGAAATCGACATTATCTTCAGGACTATCCTCTGGTTGCTGCCCCTCCAGCATCTTTATATGATCATCAACTTGTTCAATGCTCGAACTGTAATGAGCAGCCATCCTCAACAAAGCCCTCTTATAACTTTCCATGTCATTCTTCAACTGATATGCCTACAAAAACACGAAAACAACCCAAAGTTACTGAACAGCCCAAAAGCAAACCATAAACCTTCTAAAGAATCTCACATTCCTTTTAATGAACACCTAAAACACACTTATACGAACCACATATGTTTGAGTTCTCACAGAAAAACACCTACCAAACGATGAGTACCATAAAATATTCCTTTAACGAAGTAATGCAAACCACTATTCTTTTAATAGAAACCACAAGTACACTAAAGCAAGCCAAAGAACAAACAACAGAAAACACAACTAACCAGCACATGAATAAAATAAAGTATTCCGTAAACAAACTAATGCAAACCACTATACTTGTAAAGCACACTGAAAGTACTCTAAAGAAAGACATAAAACGAATAACACAGAAAAAATCACTCACTTCTTCAACCGAATGAATACCATCCAAGTTGAGGTCAAGATGGGGAAGCTTCGGAAGATCCCCTTCCCTCACCATATCAAGATCATCTACCGGCCTTTTCCTCTTTGAACCCAGCACACGTCCTCGTCCCATTGGTTGACTGGAGGTTGCTTCTTCTTCCACCACTACATCTCGATGACCAATATTGAGATGACCTTCGTCCATCAGTACTTGAAAAGCAGCACTTGCGACTTTGTACGACCTATGCCTACAGGTCGGTATGGGCAGCTCAGGGGGGTTCTTCACACGGTCAAGAATCGAAATCTGCCACATATACAAACAGACAGAAGTCAAGCAACCACAAACAAACTGTGCCAGAAAGATTATTATACACACCACACAACCAGGGGGGAGGGGCAAAAGCAAACCATAAATATTCTTAAACAAACCATAAACATCTTCAACCACACCACATTCGTCAATAAACAAACCATAAATGATAAACAATACCAGAAACATTATAACAAAGGGGGGTAAAGCAAACCATAAATATTCTTAAACAAACCATAAACATCTTCAACCACACCACATTTGTCAATAAACAAACCATAAATGAAAAACAATACCAGAAACATTATAACACAGGGGGGGGGGCAAAAGCAAACCATTAAAACTCTTAAACAAACCATAAACATCTTCAACCACACCACATTCGTCAATAAACAAACCATAAATGAAACAGTAAACCAAAATTCGAAAAGGGGTATATTTATTCACTTACAAAAAGAAGATGAACGTCACCAGGGAACTTTGACTTTGATTGAACCACTTCAACCATACTGTCATTAAAATGGTCAGCCACATGCTTACACCAATTATATTGGGTGAAGTCAGCAACCATTTCATCTTGCAAAAAACCAGCATAGGAGAGGTTAATCTTCAAATTTCCACTGGGACACAGAACTGCCTCCATTGCATACAGTACAAAAAGATCCCTCCACTTCTTATTGTCCCTCTCCTCTTCCAATGCCAGTTTAACGTTTGCCAATGACGCCTTTCCTTTCTTAGTATTGGAAAGCCCTAACTCAATTCCCCACCTGTGCCTCTGGGCTGCACTGAACATATCCAGCTTAACAGCATACGGTCCACGCGGCAAACCATAGACTCTCTCCACATCTGCCTCTCCAATTCTAAACTTCCCTGACCGTAGCAGCGGGAAAGACCTTGAACTCACATCAAAGCTTTTTGATAACGATATATTTACATGATTTTATACCCCTATTTCTTATCCATTTGCGGAGCATGGTTGTGTGTTTTGGCCTATTTTACGCCGGGTTGTGCTACTTTGCCCTATTTCAGGTCCTAGGCGTCAAAGGGAAGGCCAAGCACGAGTTTCGGATCGTTTGGAGGTCGTTTGGACGAGCCAGGCCAAAACACGGGCAGGAGGCCCTCAGAACACGGCCGTGTTCCTGCGACCGTGCTTTTTATGCCGAGGCTTCCAAAGGAGGCGTGAACAACTCAAAAAACACGGGCGGGCTAAAGGAGAAACACGGCCGTGTTTCAGGCTGAGCACGACCGTGTTCTCGAGCTGCCCGTGGCCGTGCTTTTAAGGCTGAGGCAAAACACGGGCGGGCTGAGGCAGAAAACGGCCGTGCCCTCGACCGTGTTTTGCCAATGATGCCCTTTTGAAGGCAGATTCGAGCCAAAGAGAGGGAATCGGATTTTTTGGGCAAAAACAGAGTTTTAGAGAGAGAAAGAGCGAAGAACAAACCCTAGGAGCTATCTTGGAGTGGATTTCTCATCATTGAAGCCCGGATTGCGTTCCTAGGAGTGAAGATTGACATCCCAGAGCAGATTTTCCTCATCTTTATGAGTATGACTACTCTGATTTCTGTTTTTCTTTCTCTCTCTATGGAGTAGAACCTCTCTCTCACTTGGGTATGAAGAACCCTAGTTCCTGATGTTAGGGTTTTGATTGTAATGACTTGGGATGATATTATTGTTTGATTTTAATCGAATGACGCATGTTTCATGAATTGATTTGAGTCTGATCAGCTTGTTTCAATTTCTGCTTCAACCTGAGATAGATAGAATCTGATTAGGTTGTTAGAGCTTCTTCATTCGATAGTAGGAGATTGGCTATACGAGAGTTAGCCAGTTTACTGCTTTGTACTGGTGTTCTTAACGCCAGTAGTGGAGTTCTGTGTTTATAGCCTCAGCTTTCTATCCCGGTGAAGACTAGTCGTCTGCCGGGTAGTTAGACTGAGAGGGCTTGGTCAGCTTAAGAGATTCCAAGCTACTGTCGGATCTTCCGCAGTCTAATCAACAGTAAATCAACCCAGGGAATTGCAATTGAACCTAACTAAGGGGCTAGGGGGACTCCATCCCGAGTGACTCTTAACTGCTTTTGAAAACCGAACCATTTCCTGCTTTCTTACTGCTTTTGCTTTTAAACAACAAACACTCGACTTAGTTTGCTAGATAATAGAGAATCACGGAGTAAGCAGTAGATCTAGACCCCGGGTTGATAATATAACTTGCCTGTTACTGCATTCCCGGACTGCGATTGCACTTGGTCGCAGTTTGGTGTTGTGTTCTGGCGTGTCAAGTTTTTGGCGCCGTTGCCGGGGAATCCCTCTAGGTTATTGGGGAAACGTGATAATTTGTTACTCTAGCTTTTATTTACTGCATTTTATCTCTTCCACCTGTGTGCCTTCACGGGTTGCTTCTACTGATTGTGTGCAGGTAGTGCATGACCCGTAGCCAGTCGAGAGATCTACTACCATTAGACCAGGAGCTTGAACGAACTTGTAGGAACTTCAAGCGGGCTCTAAAGGCGCGACTGGCTGCGGAGGAGGCGCTGTCACAGCTGCAGTTAGAAGAAGAAGAAGAAGAAGAAGAAGGAGAAGGCGAGATGGGGGATCATCAGAACAACGATCTGATCCCCGACGAGCAGACCATGGGATCCTACTGGACCGCTAGGGCTGCGGACATGAGGTCACCTATTCAACACCCTCAGGTCCCAGCCAACAACTTTGAGGTGAGCACCGCCGTGATCACCATGCTGCGCGGTTCAGTAGTGTTCCGTGGTAAGGAGGGAGAGTGCCCTCGATCACACCTCAGGCGATTCCACGAGCTCATCGATGGAATCAAGATCAACGGGGTCCCAGCAGATGCCATCCAGCTGAGGTACTTCCCTTTCACTCTGGAGGGGCAGGCCAAGGAGTGGCTAGACACTCGCCCTCCGGGCTCCATTACCACGTTCGTCAACCTGGCGGACAAGTTCCTCACCCGCTACCATCCTCCATCCAAGACAGCTGATCTCCAGAAGCAGATTACACACTTTTCTCAGGATGAGGATGAGACCATTAGGGATGCTTGGGAGAGGTACACCAGCCTCTTTCTCAGGTGTCCCAACCATGGTTTCAATGATGCGTTTAAGGTGGGCACTTTCTATCACGCCCTCTTCCCGGAGGACAAGCAGCTGATCGATTCGGTTTGTGGCGGGAACATGCTGACCAAAACCCCGCCACAGCTGAATCAACTCTTTGAGGAGATGGCGGAGAATGGTTATGACTGGGGCACCGCCAGGAGATCGAGGCGAGCACCTGGAAGGGGTGTGCATGCTGTGGGCACCCAGTCATCTGATTTGGTGCAGGTGGTATCGAAGCTGGTTTCAGCTATCGATCGTTCTGGTTTGATTGCAGGTACCGGACAGCCGCAGGCGATGCACTGCCAGTGGTGTGAGAGCTCTCATCACACCGTGGAGGACTGTCAGGCGATGAGGGAGTCGTCCACTCCCCAGGAGCAGGTGGATTTCATCGGGAATGCCAGGCGCTTTGACCCCTACAGCAACACCTATAATGAGGGGTGGCGCCAGCATCCTAACTTTTCTTGGGCTGGGCCGAATCCCAGACCACCAGCTCCCCAGGGACCTCCCGGTTTCCAGAGGCCTCCATACCAGCCCAGACAGGGGCAATTCCAGCAGCCACAGCAGCCACTCTACCAGCCCAGACAGGGGCCAGTTCCACCTCAGTCGCAGGCACGACCATTTCCACAGGCAGGGGCAGCCCCAGCACAGGTTGACCCGATGGCGGAACTGAGAGATCTGGTGGGTTCTTTGGCCTCCTCCAGTGCGAGTAAGTTCACTAACATTGAGCAGTTCATGGAGAAAGCTTCTGGCAAGTTCTTGGAGCTAGAAGCTGGTCAGAGAAACACACAGGCTGTGCTGCGAGATATACAGACCCAGCTTGGTGGTGTTGCACAGGCTGTTGCTCGGCGGACTCCAGGTACTTTGCCTGGTCAGACTATTCCTCACCCGCAGAACCAGGATGAAAACTGCAGTGCCATCACAACCAGGAGTGGCAAGGTGACTGCAGATCCACCTGTTCGAGCAGAGGAGAAAGAGACCCCTGCTTCAGCACTTCCAGCTAATCAGGAAGAAATGGAGAAGGAGGTTGAGGTGCCTGCTCCTACACCGCAACCAGTGGTGAAGGAGTATGTACCCCAGCTTCCCTTTCCTACTCGGTTGCACAAAGACCGACTGGAGACTGAGTTTGCCAAATTCATGGCAATGCTGAAGCAGGTGAATATTAGCATGCCCTTCGTGGAGGCATTATCGAAGATGCCC